GGTGTTCAGAATGGTTTGATCCCTATCCAGCTGAATTCCTGAGAGGAGATGAAATCCAGGTCTCCTACTCCTCCGCCATCTTGCTCCGCCCCCCACAGTATCTCCTTTCTTAATTTGAAATTTACCATTGTTTTTAATCAACACAGAATAATGAGCCTTATGAATTTGCCCTTTCACATCATTTAATTTAATACATAATTTAATACATAATATAATACATAATACAAGTTTATTGCTTGTATTTCAATAGAAATTCTATTGAGGAACAACTGAGGTATCATCAAGGAGAAAGTCTGGGCTGAGAATCTTTGCTTTATACTTTCAGCTTTCATCATACTCTTGCTTTAGTACCACTGAAATGCTTCTGACCCTCCATCTTTATTCCTTCATCCGTGAAATGAAGTTTACCTCAGTGCACTCAAGACTGATTCACATTCTTTTCCCCTGCTCTTCCTCTCTCTTTGAGTATCTTCCTCTTTGTAGAATTATTTCCCTTAATCTATAATCTATGAATATTGTCAAATTTAGCAGAGCAAACTTGTCTTTATACTACTCCTTCCTCAACTATTATCATCTTTATTGTCCACGATTGCTAAACTTTTTGAAAAAGTGATGATTACATGATCACTTCTTAATTTACAGTGGGCGATTTATAGCTCTTCTACTCTGCTGTGAAACTCCTGCCACAGAGATCATCCTTGACTCTGGGTCAAGAAAAATCACTTATTTTGCCAACGTATCTGCCTCAAAACTCCTGTGGTGTTTGACAGTGTCAATCTGCCTTCTTTTATTTTGTATCATTCTGTATTCCTCATTTCCCTGCCATTTCTTGATTATTATTTATCTGGTTCTTTTATCCTTCTAACCTTCTGATGTCTTTTCAAGTTTCCATCTTCAAAAGTATTCCTAAGTCTTTACAACATCTCACCTGGCAGTTTCTTGGCTTCAAACTCTCATCAAGGTACAAATGCCACATCTACACTTTTACTCAAGATGTATGTGTTATGTCAGTCCCTCATTCTTTGACAAGCTGCTAACAACTCAAACTCAGTATATTCTTTTCATATCTCTTCTTTGTTCTATTTTTCATTGCTGTGGTAGTCTTTTTTATTTTAGAGAAAGAGAGAGAGGGTGTGAGCGGTGGTGGGGTGGGAGGAGAAGAGGGAGAGAGAAAATCTTAAGCAGGCTCTACGCCCAGTGTGGAGCCTAACACGGGGCTCGATCTCATGACCCCAAGATCATGACCTGAGCCAAAATCAAGAGTCCGATGCTTAACACTGAGCCACCCAGGCACTGCAGCTAGTAGTCATTTTTATGCCTTTTTAAAAAGCCTTTTAAGTTATAGTTCATCTTACTGCTACAAGAATAGTTTTCAGCAGAAGGTTGGGACTTCCTTAGTATGAAAGAGAAAATAAAAAATCAGAGAACGTAACTGAGATACAGGTAAAATGCTGTGGCATTTTATCCAAGTGATCAAGTAGTAGAAAATAGTTACGCAATAAGAAAAACAGCAGATATGGGTCTTCCAGAATGGTAGAGCAAGGAGTTGCATATCTCAAAAGCAATAAAACACTGGCAAAAATTGTCAAAATGAAAATTTTCAGACCTTGAAATTAAACAAAAACTTAAAAGAATTTGAGGGGTATTTACTCAATAAAAAACTTGGGGGGCCAAAATCAAGAGTCAGACACTAACCGATGGAGCCACCAGGTACCCCCAAACATACAGAGTTTAAATAGATAGTTCCTGGGTGCCTGGGTGGCTCAGTTGGTTAAGCGTCTGCCTCCGGCTCAGGTCATGACCCCAGGATCCTGGGATAGAGTCCAGCATCAGGCTCCCTGCTCCACAGGAAGTCTGCTTCTCCCTCTGCCCCTCCTCCCACTCGTTCTCTCAATCTCTCTCTCTCAAATAAATAAAATATTTAAAAATAAATAAATAAACAGTTCCCCAGGGAGGGTATGCACATGAGCAATAAGCACATGAAAAGATACTTAACATATCAGCCATTAGAGAAATGCAAATCAAAATCACAATGAGATACCACTTCACACTTACTAGGATGGCTATAATCAAAATGACAGACAGTAAAAACTTTGAGAGATGTAGAGAAATAGGAGCTGTTATGCCTTGTTGGTAGAAAAGAAAATGGTGCAGTCACTTTGAAAAACAGTTTTGGAAAGCAGTAACTCTGAAGGTTAAACATTGAGTTATCATTTGCTTCAGCAGTTCTACCCCTAGATACATCTATGTCCATAAGAAATGAACATCTATGTCCACTTCAAAGCTCATAGATGTTTTCATAGCAGCATTGGTCATAATCGACAAAAGTGGAAACAACCCAATTTCCATCAGTTTATACATGGATACACAAAATGTGGCATATCATACAAGTTAGTATCATTTGTCAATGAAAAGAAATGATATATGGATATATACCACAATACAGATGAACCTTGAAAACATTATTCTAAGTGAAAAGAGCTAGTCACAAATGACCACATGCTATATGATTTCTACAAATTGTTCCTGTAGATACCAAGTAGATCAGTGTTTGCATAGGCAGTGGGGGGTAGTGAGATGTAGCACTCAGTGATCTGAAAGTTGGATTTAACCAGAGTATGGTCAAATGCTGCTTAAATATTCTTTATTTGCTGTATTAATATTGGCGTAGAATTCATTGAAATGGTTCATCCTTTGCACATCAAGTTGCATAAAGAAAATTATGCATGGCTTATAAAAGATATTCAAGTTGTCTAAGCATCAGTGATCTTGCTACAAGTATCAACAGAAAATAAGCATTGTTCTTTTTGTAAGAATCATTTTCTTTTTTCTATTTTTTCAGAGGTTTCTCCTCAGATTTTTTTTTTTTACTGTATTTAGTGTTTTTCTGCTTTGCTTTTCATTTAAAGGTGAACAGTTTTAATGGAAATATTTAAGTTTTCAGTTTTTTCTGTGCTTTAGCTTGTTACATGAATTTCATGTAAATATTGACATTATGTAATTCTTTGAAATCTATTTTCTAGGTAACTTCAGATCTTCCAATAGTGTGGGGAAACCCATACATCACCATAGACCCTGACAATGCAGTTCCATATATCCTACATGTATCCCCTTGGAAACGTGGTGTATTCAAAGGTAACAAAACTATTAGTAAAATATTATTAACCACCACACTAGAACAGATACATGATGAGAAGAAATAAAAAGTATAGTTTACATTTCCCTTTCTAAAAAATGACCGAGAGGGAAGTTTAGTTTTCTACTTCAGTCAGAGCTTTGGGACATACATTTTATGTCTTGTGCTATACTCTCTTGGCCATTTGTTTGAATGTATGTGTTGGACAAATTTCTAGAAGTATAAATATTTAGTTAAGGGTATTTACAGTTAAAATTGTGATTGATACTTTCAAATACTTATACCAATTTATGAGCCAGGCAGCATCTTATGAGCATGTTTGTTTATGGGAATAGGTGTTATAAAAACAAGCGTATGCACTGAATTAACACATGAAAAAATAGGTTAAAGTCTTTGGTGTGTGAAGTTTCTTCCCTTTGTCTCTAATAAAGCGTTCATTTGTACAAATTGCCCTGAGGGTTCCTGAACAGAATTGCTTGCATGGGAACCGTGCTGAGGGGTATTCCTTATAAACTTTTGAAGGGAGGGTGCTTAAGAAGGTAGAAGAGTCATAGGGAAGAACTAAGGAACTGTGATTCATCAAAGGAATAAGTTGTCCTCTTTGGGAGAGAATTAAAGTCCCACAGTGGTTGGATCCTGCTGAGGAAATCATCATAATGTAGGTAAATGGATATAATTTAGAAGTGTAGTAAGTATACACCTAGTAGCAATCTTGTGCTCCCTAGGAGAACTAGTGTCTCAACCCTGTTTACCTCAACAAAAATGTTTTAGGAAAGGGTCTATCCTTAGCATAGAAGGGTCTATACCTCGCATGCCAATGCTATTAATAAGCAGAAGGGAAACTTCAGAATGGCAAACAGAGTGATCCATTCAATACCACTGGAACAGAATGTGCTGTAAAGCAAGAGCCAACTTGCCCACCCACATTGTCTGGTTCTAGTGGCCTTGACCTCACATATCACCAGTCTTAGTTATTAGCATCTTCCAAAATCTTCCCACCACTTTTCAGACATTTGGCTTTGCAAAGCCAATTAATAATTCTCCATGTGACGGGTAGATTTTGAGGTATAGTGAACCTATTCCTAGTATTTCAATAAATTAGCATATTTTGTCCTTTTTTTATGTAATTCAGAAGATTTGAATTGATTTTAAGAAATCTAAAGTTCACTTCTCATTTTAATAATCAAATGACAGTGGATTTCCTTTAGTTTCAGAATGTTAACTAGTCTTTTGTAAAGGGCAGCGAATCATTCAGATTTGCCATTATTTTTGATAAACATATTACATCTCAGTTTCCTGTTCTACAAAAGGGAGAGGGTTCTGCTATGTATGAGAAAGAACATATGAGGAACCTCAAACTGCACAACATTGTTGTATTAGAAATGTGTATGACTCCCTTAAACAAACAAAACCCCTTGTCTATGAATCAGACTCTTAAAGTTATGGAAATGGAGCTAAGAATAATTAAGTACTCATATTTAATATGTCTTTCCTTTGTATAGTCATTTTTTTGTTAGTTTGGCAGCCTTTCGGAGACCATAAAATTTCAGTACATATTTTCACTGAACAGATATGGATTCATTTAAAATGCTGGTTTGAAGGACTTTGGAAGGAATTTGGGGAAGTTAAAGGCGACTCCGGGTACATCATTAATTGGGGATGAATTAGTAAATGTTGCTGGCTACACAAGAGGTTTTGCAGGCTTCATAATTTTGAAAAATATTTGCAAGACGCTATCATGATTGCTCTTTCCAGGGCAGTAGTCCCTTAGAGGTGAATTAATATTGATATGATTTGGAGAAGGTGAGCCTGTAAAGAAAGCTAAGTACATTTTTATTGATATTATTGTTAGAAAACTTACACAACACTTGAAACAGTGTAAATGTAATTGCCTTCTGAACAGTTGTTAATCTAATGTGATTAAAAAAACAGACTATAACATTTTCATATGTACATGAGAATATTCCTATTTGTGCTGGTTAAAGAAGTGTATCCGTGTGCATGTATGTATCAGTGGTCTTTTTAAAAAACTTTGTGCTTCTTTTCAGTTCTGTTCTTAATTATATAACAGTTATTTACAAAAGGCCTATAACTTGGGAAGCCTTAATAACTATAATTGTTGTGAACAAAGCTGACGTCCAACCAATTATGCCCTATTTCTTAAAATATTGTAACAGATGCTTTTCTTTATATGTTGGTAAATACTCAGTTGTTTGAGCTCCACTGTAGTAAAACCCTTAACCACTATAGCCATCATAGCCCCTCCTGCAGGCCCCCCAGGACTTCCCAACAAACCAGCAGCAACTAAAGGGTTAAAACATGACTCATCTGGGTGCCCCAGGACTTTCATCCGGTGTCCTTTTTCATTGGCCAGATTAGACTATAGGTTTGTTAATTATTTCGAATATTAGCCATGGATATAAAGATGGGTATCATGACTCCTGCCTACTAGGAATTCATATATGGTGGTGAACATATATATCCGTAAATCATCTCAGTGAAAGGTACACTCTGATATACCAAAATTTAAACATGGCACTGGGGAGCATGGTAGCAGGAAATATTAACCCTAACACTGGGGGTATGAGAGGTCTTTTTAGGGGATAATGGATTTGATTTAGACCTCAGAGGATAAGCTGGGATTTATTAGCCAATATGGTGGGGAGGGCATTACAGCAGAGGAAACAACCATACTGAAAACACAGAGAAGATACTTCATGTCAGTAATGAGTAGAGGAGTGTGTCTGCAGTGTGTTTGTGGTAGGAAATGCAGGCTGACATACAGTTAGAAATACAGGCCGACTTTGATGGGCAGAGTTTTGTTTTACTTCTTATTGCAGCGGGAGCCACTGAGGATTTCTAAGGAGCGTGAGTCAACAGAGTTTTAGAAAGAAAAATCTAGAGGTAAAATATAAAACAGATAGGAGGGGCAAGAGAGGGCAGTAAGATCTGAAAGATCCTTTAGGAGCCTTTAGTAATATTCAAGTTGATCAGTTCTCAGTATTTGTGTTTCTTCTCTTAAAAGAAGACCCTGAGAAAAGAGTTTAATTGCAAGTGGTTTAGATGAGAGTTGATCACAGGAAGCACTCTGAGAGAATGGGAAGGTAAGATGCTAAAGGGAGAAAGTCAGTGAAAAGTAAGCTAAAGATCAGACTACTCCTGAGACCTGGGGAAGCTCACTGGGAACCTTCAGAGAGAATTGTCATGCCAAAGGGCAAGCAAATTGTGGTAATCATTCACTAACTCCAATCCATCATTGGCTAACGTTTGCTCTTAGGGCAGATTCCCATGGCAATGAAACAATCCCTACTGGAAAAGTCATAGGAAATGAATGCTGTATATGGAAACTGTCTGCAGAGGGGATTTTTATGGGATCCTGAGAGCATATACCACAGTGGGTATCATGTCATACGGATTGGTAGGTAGAAATTTTGAAAAATGGATGGATTTGGAATTTTTGCAGCAGCCTGCAGTGAGCCACAATCATGTTTCAAGTATGTGATATGGAGACTTGAATTTGAATGCCTCTCTGGCCATGGAACAAATAGTGAAAATTGACCATTTTAAATGAAAGTTAAGGGTAGGGGCACCTGGGTGCCTCAGGCAGTTGAGGGTCCAACTCTTGACTTCAGCTCAGATCATGATCTCAGGGTCGTGAGATTGAGCCCCGTGTTGGGCTCTGTGCTCAGTGAGGATTCTGCTTGAGATTTTCTCTCTCCTCTCCCTCTGCTCTTCATGCCCCCCCGCCACTTGCTCTCTCTCTCTCTCTCTAATAAATCTTAAAAAAAAAAAGTTATGGGCAGACCGAACTAGACAAGTGATAGTGGATTAAAGAACAGAAGAACAGTTTTTAAAGAAATAAAAATGGGAAATGATGCTCTAACAGCTTGGGTTTTCAGGGATTCAAATTCTGAGATGGGAAATTGGCAGGACATTTATTAGGAGATATACTATGGTCAACATTTGTGAAAGGAAAGGTAAGAAGGTATATTGACCAGGTGGAGAAAGAAGTTGGGCTTCTAGACAGGTCCAGTGAAGGCTTTTAGTCAACTCACTGGGGCCTCTTAAGCTAGGATGGCCCTTTGGAACTGTCCCAAGTTAAGAGAAGGCGACTGGGCCTTTATGCTGCTATGTTGATCAGTCATTGAAAGTGGACTTGGATGAGGCAATTTTTTCAAGCCAAGGCAATGCCCAAAGAGGGCTGACCTAATTTTCATCTTTGAGTATCATTCCCTGTAGCTACAGAAATAATTCCTTCATTCCTGATAAGGAATGTGATTGATGCTGTATAGTGTCCACCACAGTTACATCTGATGAAAATCAGATATGGAGAGATAAGGGAGAAAGGAGAGTCAAATGTACTGATAGGAAGCAACACTAAGGAAGGGGATATAATTAACTGAGAGCTATGTCAACTGTACTTCCTTTACATTTTTTTTACTTAGCATAATACCCTCCAGTGTAAATGGTAGGTATTCATCCTTTCTGATGGCTGAGTAATATTCCATTGTATATATGAACCACATCTTCTTTATCCATTCGTCTGCTGAAGGACATCTCGGCTCCTTCCACAGTTTGGCTATTGTGGACATTGCTGCTATGAACATTGGGGGTACAGGTGCTCCTTCTTTTCACTACATCTGTATCTCACATAATAAAGGCTGTATATGGGGGCGCCTGCGTGGCTCAGTCAGTTGAGCGTCTGCCTTCAGCTCAGGTCAAGTTCCTAGGGTCCTGGGATCAAGCCCTGCATAGGGCTCCCTGCTCAGTGGGGAGTCTGCATCTCCCACTCCCTCTGCCTCTCCCCCTGCTCCTGCTCTCTCTCGCGCTCCCTCTCTCTCAATTAAATAAAATAAATAAAGGCCGTATATGAAAAACCCACAGCTAACATCATACTTAATTGGGAAAAACAGAGAGATTTTTCACTAAGGTCAGGAACAAGACAAGGATGTGTACTCACCACTTTTATTCAACATGGTACTGGAAGTCCTAGCCACAG